GGAAGTGGCCCATTGGTGTGGCTCAGTGGTTGAGTGTCAACCCATGCACCAAGAGGTCACGGGTTCCATTCTCGGTCTTCTCTCTCATCGATGTTTCTCTCTCTCCCTCTCCCTTGCTCTCTCTCTAAAATCAATAAGGAAAAAAAAAATCGGGAAGTGTCTGGGGTCATAGGGGATCACAGAGCCCATCATCCCTTCCCACCAGATGCCCAATTTCTCTACCCCGACCAACCCCCCCAGCCTCCAGCCCCTCTGCCCCCAGCTCTGAGATATACCTGAGCTTCTGTTTCCAGGGCTGGAGCCAGATTGGTGTTAGGTGACAGGAAACACAGGCCCAGGGCTCTGTCCCTAACCGCCCCCCTCGCTGTTTCCCCCAGCTCAACCAGAAAATGGGGGAGGTATCATGAGAGAAGGGTGATGGAATGAGATGGAGAGGGGCACAAAGGAAAGACAAAGAGAGGAGAGAGGAGGGGTCTCAAGGAGTAGGAGGAACACCCAGCTTAGGACACAGGAGTCCTGGCCTCCTGAGACCCTCCAGCCTTCATGGCACTTTTCAGCCTGATGCCATATAGGGTGCCTCCACCCATGAGGGTTGAGATGCGATTTGTCCCTGCACATTTGGACAATGGTGAGCTGAGCTAGGCCATCTCTCACCCCCATCAGGCTGCCCTGAGCCCTGCGAATTCTCGTGCCTTCACCAGGTGTCCAGCCACCCAAGGACCACCTCTGTGGTGCCCCCAGCCAGACCCTGGGTGGACAGGCAGGGCCACTGTCTGTCCAGAGGCAGCAAGAGAGAGGCTGGGCAGAGTTGGCAGTGCCAGGCTGTGACCCCCCCCCCCCCAGGCAGATGTGTGTTCCTGTTAAAGGGGGATCTTTTATGAGCACCCTGGGAAGATGTCAGTCTAGGCAGGCCGCCAGAACCCCGGGGCTCGCTGCTGAGAGCAAGTAAGTGAAGAGGACCAGCCTGAGAACCCACCACGCCTGGCAGCCAGAGAGGCACACGTGCAGTTGCTTCCCAGGGACCTGGAGAGAACCTGCGAGTCAGAGGTCCATGGGACTTACAGGGTCCCAGCCTTTCTCTGAGCCTTCAGGGGGTTTTGTCCCCAAGTCCTGGTGACTCCTCCCCAAACTACAGGCTCTACCCTGGGCCTGGCTGCCACCAGTCTCCCCCATCTCTCCCACTCTCACTACTTGCCAGGTCAGCGTATTCTTTGCATTGAATGCACTCATTCATTTCAAAATATTTGTTAAGCATCTGATCAGGGGCTGGGACTATAATGGGCCACCCCTGCCTGGTTGGGCTGACAGTCGAGCAGAGGAGACAGATAACCAACGCTGCAAGCATTATGGTTTTTTTTTGTTTTTATCCTCACCCGAGGACATTTTTCGATATTTTGTTCAGATAGAGTGAGAGGGAGAGAGAGAGAGATTAACATCGACGTGAAAGGGACACATCAAGTGGTTGCCACTGACAGGACCCAACCAGGGCCAGGGACAAACTACAACCGAGGTACGTGCCCTTAGAGGGAACCGAACCCAGGTCTCTCCGGACCGCAGGCCGACGCTCTAACCGCTGAGCCAAATCGGCCAGGGCTATATTGTTCTTTAAAAGGTGCTTAAGTGCTGTAACCATTCAGAGCCACGAAAGGGGTGAGGAAGGTGCAGGGTGTGACATCAGGAGGTCTCAAGGAGGAGGTGGTGTCTGAACGAAGATCTGGAGGAGGGGAGAGACAGTGTTATATGGACAGGAAGAGTGTCTGGCAGACAGAACAGGGCCTGTGCACAGAGGCAGGCTGGTGTCTGGCTTGTGTGAGAGGGGATATTGAGGACCTAGTGGATGGGTGTAGATGACACCCAGAGATGGTAGTGTGGGACTAGACTGTGTAAACTCTAAGTCAGTTCACAATGGTCTGTTGCCTAAAACTGCTCCTGACTCCCTAGTGCCTTTGAAAGGAACCCCCATCTCTCCCACCATCCAGAGCCTCCCCAAACTGAGCCTTCAATAGGCCCCAGATCGTTGCTCCATCGTTCCCTTCCTTCGAAGTCACCCCAGAGCTGGCCCTGACCTCCCAGCCACCACTTCAAACCCATCTCAGCACCCTCTCAGTGGGGGCAGGCCCAAGTCCAAAGCCCTAAAGTCCATAGTTTGGGGACCAGTGAAGAACCCTGCAGTTTAAGCTTTAAGGGCTACCAGGAAAATCCACTACCAGACAAGAAATTCTGAATGTCTGATCAACTGTGTGTGGCAGGACTGGGACCCCACATTCACCTCTAGGAAGGGGAGTGCTGTGTCCCATGTCTAAGTCACATGCACAAACACCATTGTGTAGGGCAGAGCCAACCCAACCCAAGTGGCAAGTGACATTAGGCAGAGCATCCCTCCCCAGGTCCTTAGTCTGCACCATAGGGTAAGGTCTCCAGTTGTGCTGACTTAGGACTCCCCTGAGTTTTCTTTCCCTACTGAGCTCCCCAAGACCTGCTAGTGAGGGCAGGGAGGGGTAGGAGAACCAGTCTGACAGCCCCCACATCTGGCCCTGTTTCAGATAAAGCAGAGATACCCTTAGGGTCATGGTCATAACACTAGAGAGGGGATGTTGCAGGGGCTCAGGGAAGGCCCACGGAGGCCACTACCACAGGCTCTGTCCTCATGGGGTCCCTGAAAAGTAGGTAGAACATTTCCAAGCAGCCTCAGGGATGGGCCCTTGTTTATCTGACAGCCTCTCTGCCCTGAGTAGGCTGGGGTGCTGAGACCTTGGTTCCTGAACCCTCCAAGCCCTTGCCAAAGATGTTCTCATAATTCCCAAAACTTGGCTGCTTTGACTTCTCCATCCCATCGCTGGGGAAACTAAGGTAGGTTTCAGCAGGTCTTCACCGAGAACACCCCCCAGTGGTATGGGGCTGCTTGCTGAGTGGATAAAGGGACAAGAATACTTAGTGTGAGGAAGAGGAACAAGGCTGCTGGTCCAGTTGCTAATTAGATTTATTTTTCTGTGTGCACAGAACTGGATGACTGATCCATACACAGCGAGCAGCGAGCAGCGTCTCTCTGGGGGTGGGGGTGGGGGGATGCTTTGTGTAAACTTGCCTGAGTCTGAGTCCTGTTCACCTCTCCACACCACACATTCCCCATCTGCTGCTCTATAAAATCGCTTCTGAACCCCCAGCACTGATCATCTTTTATTAAAAAAATTTTTAAATCTTCACTTGAGGATATGTTTCTTACTGATTTTAGAAAGGGAGAGAGGGAGAGAAACATTGATCGGCTACTTCCCATATGCACCCCAACCAGGGATCAAACCTGCAACCTAGGTATGTACCCTGACCCCACAACCCTCTGGTATACAGGACGACACTCCAACTTAGCCACCCAGCCAGGGCGGCACTGCCCATCTTGATTAAGAACCCTGTGCAGCTGCCTCATCTGACCCCAAGCAAGCAAACACTCAAACAAGCCCTGAGTTGGGGAGGGGTAGGCTGAACAGGAGGAGGCTTAGCCAAGCCATCCCCAGTGAGAGGCCAGATTCACTGTCCCCTTATCAGGTTTGACTCTTCCCACTGGACCTGGGACCTGTCCAAAGAATCCTCAGCCCCACGTATACCATTGGAGCCCAATCAATATTGCTGAGCAAACAAGTAGGCATGTGCATCTTATGGACCACAGAAAAGTTAAAGTAGTGGGTTCCTTGGGACCCCAGGGCTCAGGGAGGTCGGGACTCGGGTGTGTCCAGCTGGAAGGCACACGGGACCAGGCAGTAAAAAAGGGGCTCTGAACTTACTCCCCAAGGCCCAAGTCTCACTCCAGTGTGTATGTGGCACCCTCTAGTGGCTTCCAGAGGGTAGGGCTGGGCAGGGACAGCCCCCAATCCCCAGGCTTAGGGTTTCTGGCATGGAATTCCTTCCTGTGAAATGAGACATGGCTCTTCCCAGGCTGTGGGGTACAGAACAAAGAGGGTGAGGGGATTCTATAAAGAATCCCCTATTCTCCCCACAGGAGCTTGGGGAAATCAGACACAACTGACAGCTATGCGGCCTTGGAGGTCCCCGTGAAGTGTCTAAACAGAAGGCAAGGGACCTGGTGGCCAATGTACAGCCTATCTTTTCAGCTTTGTGGTAGTTATGCCAGACATTTTTCCAACACTGAATATAGCTGCTTCTCTGCAGACCTGAGAAGAGCTAGTCCAATACTCCCCAAGACCCTCACCCAGACCTGCTTACAGCCTGAGAATGTGTCCAGAAGGGGGAATTTAATAGGTATAGAAATAGACTTACTCCTGGACAAGCTCTTTCCCGTCTGGGACTTGGTTTCCTCAGTGCAGTGGGTGGGAGGCCTAGATGGTACCTGCTAGTCCCACGGTTCAGCAAAGCCTTGCCTCCTGTGACCTGCTGCCCGAGTGCTCCCTGGCCCTTCAACCTATTCATGCCTCCTTGCCTGTCAGGGTGCAGTCTGCACGAGCAGGTGCCCCTTCTTGCTTGCTGGACCCCTGCCCTCCTCAGCTGGAACAAGAGACCAGGCTCCAGATGCTCCCACTCCCACCTTCCCCTGCATGGGTCCTAGACAGTCCTTGTGCTCTACTGGAGTTCCTGGCTGCCACCACTGCTCACAGGCCACCCAACCAGAGTGTCCTGCCCAGGATGGGTGGGTAGAGGCTCCCTACCCCACATTGAGGAACCAGTGGGAAGGATCCCAGTTGTCCAGGGTCTCTGAAACAGCTGGTGACTACCCACCCATCCCATTCAGAGCTGCTATAGGGCCCCCCACAGTCCTGTGGCCTGTCCACCCTTCCTTGCCTACACCCTTTGTCCTGGGAACAAAGCTCCCAGCCCCAGTGATTAGCGCCATCCCACCCTGTCCTGCCCCTGCCCCCACATATGCTCTCTTGTGCACTGTAACCTTACTCTGGGCCTCAGTACAGCTTAGAACTTGCCTTATGAGCTAAATTCCACCCATCCCCACCCAACTCTCCTTGTAAGATCCAGGATCAGTGCAGACAGAGCCAGAAGAGGGAGAGGCGGGTCAGCCTTTATTGGTGAGCAGACAGGTGGGGTGGGGGTTCTCATGTGAGTCAGGACGCTGTGGAGGAAGAAGCCTCAGACCCAGATGGGGAAGGTTTTTTTTCAGTTACTATTGGCACAGATGGGAAAGGGGCTGTTTAGCAACTCCCGTTCCATGATGGTCACCCAGACCACTGCTCCCCAGCATGGGGATGGCAGGAACAGTGAGGTCAGCCTGTCCCAGGTCACACAGACCTGTGGTGATGTGACAGCACTTGCTTCAGACAGGCAGGATGTCAGGCATCGTGACTTGTGACCTTCTGAAAAAGGCAGGGAAGCAGTAGAACCAAGGCCCAGCAGTCTCAGGAGATAACCTATGGAAGGAATCTCAGGGAAAAAGCCAGTCTTCCCTCCACAGCCCCCCAGCATGATGAACTAAAAGGCTAAATTAAAATGCCCAGGGGACACTGAGGGTATGAGCTGAGGTACATACAAGGAGGTAACAGGAAGGGGATAGGCAGGGGATAGCAGAGGTCTCCAACAGAACCTCACGGCTCCCCTAGAGTGCACTTAAAAATAAAAAACAAAACCCCTAAGGAATGGAATTCTCCATAGAGAAAACCCTAGTTTAGTTTCTTTTAAAAATAAGTGAAAACATGTGATTTGAATCCACAGCGTTGTCTACTTGGCAGGTTAGGTTTCCTTTAAGAGGAGAGGACTTGGAATGGTGCGAATACCAGGAACACCTGGAACACCGGGCTCCTCTGGACAGCAGCTCAGGCCTGTGCAGACTCCTCCTCACTGCCTGCAGGAAGGAAGGGGCACTCAGACCCCAGCCCCAGCAGGGCAGGAGCCTGGCCCCCAGTCATGCCCGGAGTCACACCCCTTACCTGGATTGCTCACTCAGTTAGCATTCCTCTGTCTGACATTCTCGCCTTTGTTATTCACGTGGTGACCGCTGCTCTTCCTGGGGACATGAGGGGGCTTTTCAGTGCTCAGGAGGACAAAAGAGCCGCCCCTCACCCCCACCCCCAGTCACAGATAGAGGGGCATCCAGGCCAGCAGCTCCTCCACCTGCCCCCACACCCACCCCTGCATCCCCCCACTCAGCAAGACCAAGACTCACAGTGGGGCAGAGCCCGTGTCTTCATCTGTGCAGACGCGCAGCCAAGCCATGTACAAGAGAACAGGTGTCAGAGGTGGTTCCTGTGCTGCTGGGCCCTGCCCTATGTCCCTAGGACATGTACCCTCAAAATGAGCTATCTGGGGTCACAGCCCAAGGGACCCAGGGAAGCCCGGCCTGCTCTCTTTGTCCACTCGCAGGCAAGCAGGTACCCCCACCTGGCCAGGGCGGCTCAAGTTTCCTGAGCTTTGTCAGGTACCCAAGCAGCTGCTCTGAGGAGAGGCTAAGCAGCTGAGGGTAGCTGCTCACCAGAGAACACCTGCCAGCAGCCAAGTGAGGCTGTGGGGGTAAGCAGACCCAAGCCTCAGAAAGTGGTGCAGGAGGCCCTGGCCAGGTAGCTCAGTTACATAAAGCATTGTCCCAATACGCCAAAGTTGCAGGTTCAATCCCTAGTAAGGGCACACACACAAATCAATCAATGAATGCATAAATAAGTGTAACAACAAATCGATGTTTCTCTCTCTTTCTTAAGTCAATAAATAAAAAAACAAAAACAAAAAAAAGTAAGGAAGCTCCTGGGGAGAAACCTGGGGACCTGACCCAGAAGAGGGGGCTCTCCCTCAACTCCAAAGTGCCCCCCACTATACTGCATTCCTGGACGGTGCCCACAGATTGGTAGCAGAGGGCATGGGGCCAGCTCACCATCCAGGACCTCGTCCGGCTTCCGCCGCTTCTCATAGATGAAGATGATGGTGACTAGCACAAGCACCTCGGCCACGATACCCAGGAAGGGCCAGAGGGCGGCGAGGCGGTTGCGTACGCGCAGGGTGATTACTGCCTGGTCGGTGCCCTCTGCATTGGTGCCATTGCAGGCGTACTTTCCAGGGTCCGCCTCCAGGTCTAGGTTCTGGATGTGCAGCTCTGTCTTGGTCTCCGAAGACAGCACAAACTTGTTCTGGGAGTTGTTGGTGAGAACCTGGGGGCAGGTGGACCTTGTAGGGCACTGATGCCCAGGCCTTCACCCCTAACCCCAGGTAGGTGCAGCCCTCACCTGGTCCCCGCCATCACTCATCTTGTACCACACCCAGTCAGTAACTGGAGGGAAAGACTCAGACTTGCAGGCCAGCACAACACTCTCCCCCTCGGTGGCATGCTCTGACTTCTTCACAGCCTTAATCTTGGGAGACCCTGGTAGGGGCAGAACACAGCAGAACCTGAGTCCCACAGCCTAGGGGAGCCAACCCTCCTTCAGTGTGTGGATTCCTCTACCCCAGGGATGGATAAGCCTGCCCCTTCCGATGTGCTCTGGGGGCCACAGAGCTCACCTTTCACATCCACGGAGGCCCTGAGTTCAGTATCCGAGAGGAAGATGCAGAAGTACCGCCCCATGCGCTCATCTGTATCTATCCTGCAAGCAGATGCAAACGTGAGTTGACCCTCTACAGCTGACCCTGTAGGGCCAGAGCAAGGCCTTGGAGGTCATGGTAAGGAAACCCTGCAGGAGGGTACATACTGCCCATGTCCCATCAAGAAGGGACAAGGTGGTTTTGGGGACAGCAGATGGGTTTGGCCCCACCCCTGATCTGGACCCTGCACCAAATGAGCTTCTGTACTAAGCGACCCCAGAAGCCTCAAAATAGGGCTCTGTGTTTCCAGAGCTAGCTTGACCTCCATTAAGACAAGGCTTCAACATGGGCAGCCTTGAGTGCCCAAGACCTTAATGAACTGGGAACACAGGGACTCCCGGCTGAGGGGGACCCATGTAGTATCCCCCTCCTCTGCCAGTGCCTGGAAGAAGGAGAAAAGGGTCTTGGAGGTCATGATGTCTGGCAGCTATTAGACCCTCCCTGGCTCCTGGGCTTTTCATGACCGAGGGATCTGAGCAGAGCTTGTATCTAACGCCTACTAAAGTGAGCCCATGGATCAGAGCCTTCATTCCAGCTAACCACATGGCTATGAGCCACAAGAACGCATCAGAGCAAACAGGGGCAACAGGGGGCCCAGGGTGAAGCCAGCTCCCCGAAAAGAGGTCCCACCCCTCTTTTGCTAGGACCACTGAGACACAAGGCCTGGGCGCCTCTGTGGGCCTCACGCACGTGTACTTCATTGTCGAATCTGTCAGCGAGTCCTCATGCAGCACCCTGTCCCCCTTCTTCCAGTGGTGTCCTAGGATCTCAGCGCTGGAGTCATTCAAGGTGCAGGTGAGGAGTGTTTTGGAGCCATCATCAGTTATGGTAGTCAAGATTTTGTTCTCTGTGCAAACAAGAGGAGATTAGCCAAGGGATCAGAGAAGGACAAAGCCCATGACCCCCCTAGCCACTTGCCCATTTGTCCCGCAGCAAATCCACAGTGGTTCCTCCACACAATCACAGCGCCCTCCTGGCAGAGAAGCCACAGCCTTGTTAACAAGGCCACTGTCACAATGGCACATTTAGGAAGGACATTGCCTGTGGAATTAATGGGCCTCAGGTCTGAAGAGCTAGTGGATGGGATGTAGGACTTGAGGCAGGTTTTATCAGAAGACATGGGTCGCAAGTATGGGAACAGAGGCCAACACCCATCTGGGGTCCCAAATTGTAGGCCCAACCCAGCACAGACCCTAATTTCTATTTTTTGTTGTTGTTGCTGTTAATCTTCACCCGAGGATATGTTTTCCATTGATTTTTAGAGACAGTGGAAGGGAGGGGGAGAGAGGAAAATAGAGAAACATCAATGAGAGAGAGAGACATTGATTGGTTGCTTCCTGCACGTGCCCCAACCAGGACTGGGGATCAAACCTGCAACCCAGGTATGTGCACTTTACCAGAATCAAACCCACAACCCTTTGGTCCAAGGGCAAATGCTCTAACCACTGAGAAAACTGTCCCAGGCGCTACTTTCCTCCCCCCCCCCCTTACATATTTTAGAGAGAGAGAAAGTAAGAGGGAGAGAGAGACAGAAACACCAATGATGAGAGAACATCGACTGGCCACCTCCTGCATGCTCCCCACTGGGGATCAGGCCCACAACCTGGGCATGTGTCTTACTGGGAATCAAACTGGCGAACTCTTGGTGCATGAGTTGACACTCAACCACTGAGTCACATCGGCTGAACTCTATTTTCCTTTTATTTTATTTTTTTTAATCCTCACCCGAGGATATTTTTCCATTTTTTGTTCAGATAGAGTGGGAGGAAGAGAGAGAGAGAGAGAGAGAGAGAGAGAGAAAGAAAAAGAAAGAGAAACATCGATGTGAAAGGGACACATCAAGTGGCTGCCACCCACACGACCCAACCAGGGCCGGGGACAAACTGCAACCAAGGTACGCACCCTTAGCGGGAACCGAACCCGGGTCTCTTGGGACCGCAGGCTGACACTCTAATCGCTGAGCCAAACCGGCCAGGGCATCTATTTTCCTTTTAAAACAATAAATCTACCACTGCTCAGGGCACCACTCCCTCAATGGATAGTCTTACACTTTCCCTCTCCCTCATAAAAGCAAGCCACCTGCGGTGAGGACAGGTGTGGTTGGCTTGTGGGCTGAGAAGCACCAGGGGATGACAGGGCCAGGGGGCTCCAGCTGCTCCTGTCCTGGAAGGAGCCTTTTCTCCAGCAGGTCAAGAGTTCCTACAGCCCACTCACAACTGTCACAAAGCCACTGTACAGGAGACAATATGTTGTCCTGTCCAGGACACTGAGGGTGGACCCAATTGGCAAGGGCCCTTCAACTCAATTTCCAATTAGGCAGATCTCCCCATTAGTTTTGGATGGTCTCCTGAGGAACTGAAATGTGAAAATCACTTGGAACCAAAAGGTGAGAAGCACAAGAGACTGGGCATGAGCTGGGAGGGCTCCTCTTCTGGGATCAAAAATAGGAGGCAAACCCCAACCGCCTAGTGCTCAGATAGTAAGCCAAGCAGGTGTTCCATGGACCAGACGTTGAGGGTAAGGGGAATGGAACCCTTCCCTGAGGGCAGGGCCAGCCACTGCCTGACCATGTCAGATGCTGACCACCATTGGTGGGGCAGCAAGCACACCCATGTCCACACTGGAGCCCTGTCCCAAGGTTGGAGCAAGTGTCATGGGGACACCCCTACCCAACCACATGGGGTCCCAGACACCACAGGACTGCCCACACTGGCCCCCACCTGCCTTCTCTGGGATGGCTCCAAGGCAGAGCTTTATTCAGAAGTGTCTGTGTCTCCAGGATGGTCACCTACAGCTTGGAGCCCTGAAGGCATCCCTTTTTTTAAAAAAAAGATTTCTATTGATTTTTAGAGAGAGAGAGAAAGGGAGAGAGAGAGAGAAAGGGAGAGAGAGAGAGAAAGAGAAACACTGATGATAATGAAAAATCTACGAGCTGTGCCCTGCATACCCCCTCCCCGGGGATCAAGCCCACAATCTGGGCATGTGCCCTGACTGGGAATCCAATCAGCAACCTGAGCCACAGCAGTCAAGGGCCCTTCAAAAAGGCTGCACCCACAGGATTGAGCATAAAGAGATTCAGGCAGAGATGTTTGCAATCAGCTTCTTTTCCTCTTAGTTTGTGGAGAGAAGCCTGTGCTATGAAGTTAAGTGAACAGAACACAAGACTGTGTTTAAACAACTTCTGCTCAGAGGCTACCTTTCCAGAAGAGCGGCTACAAGAAACCAGGCAGTCTGGCAGCCATCCAGTAGGCCTGCCCACCCTGGACCCCCGCCTTCCTCACTTGGGACACACAGTGATTTTTGACAGCAAAACAGTGAAATTACAAAACAAAACACATGAAATTAGGCAGAATGGTCAGAGGTAGTGACCCCAACCTGGGTGGTTATCTTAGCTGCCTGGAACTCAGCAGCAGTATAAATTGATTCCATGGACAGCAAACCTCTGGCTTATGCCTAATACTCCCAATCCAGAGGGAAATGACAGGAAAAGTATTCTCCTGTATCCACTGGACACCACACTGGGTTCTCACCACGTAAGCAAAGCTTACTTGGCCTCACCTATCTAGAAAGACCCAGTTAGTCATTAAGGAAAGTAAAGCTCCCCCTGGCCGGTTTGGCCCAGCAGTTACAGCATCAGCCTGCGGTCCAGACACATCCAGGTTCGGTTCCCGCTAAGGGCACGTACCTTGGTTGCAGTTTGTCCCCGGCCCTGGTTGGGTCGTGTGGGAGGCAGCCACTCAATGTGTCCCTTTCACGTTGATGTTTCTCTCTCTCTCTTCCTCTCTATCTGAACAGAAAATGGAAAAATATCCTCAGGTGAGGATAAAAAAGAAAAAAAAGGAAATTAAACCTCAAAACCCAAAGGGCAGCAGAAAAACTTCATCCAACATCATAGCTGGATCTGGAATGATCCACAGGCAGAATACACCTGTCTTCTCAGGCAGTCTGAGATCAGCATCCCCCAAGGGTGAAGCCCCATACCTTTATTGGGTCCCAGGGCAATAGCCAGGGGCCACAGGTGCAGCCCCATACCTCTATTGGGTCCCAGGGCAACAGCCAGGAGCCTGGCAATTAGGTCCTCAGTGGGCTCGTGGCACCCCACCCTCTCCCATTGCAAACTTGACGCATGCAGACTCAGCTTTCAAGCTGTGTTTCTAGTCTGGAGAATGGAGGCCTGCTGGTGAACAGGACACATGCACAGCCAGGCAGGGCCTCTTCCTGAGTAGGCCAGTCCTCACTGACCCACTACTGGCAACCTGCTGGTTCTTTCTTTAAAAGAGGACACAATGTCTCAGAATTCCAGGCAAGCAGGGGATGAAGCAAAAAGCTCAATCACAGCCAGACAGGAAATGCAAGGAGGCCTCTGGGGCTGGGGCACCCATCTGCTCCCAGGGCACGTATGATCATGCACCACTATATGTGTGCATGTGTAGGTGGTAGGGGCAGACATACACATTGATGTGTACCCACACACATATGCATGTGCACAAACACATGCACACAGAGTGTACATGTACATACACACACAATCACAGCTCCTTGCTGCATGTAAGAGAGCAGACTGCTGGCCAGGAAGTTCAGGGGCCTCAGGCTGTCTATTCTGGGAAAAGTGACCTCAAGGCCCCAGGAACAAGTGGACCTTCACATCTCCCCACCTGTGGTGGCCCAAAGGCAACTCATAGGACTCAGGACAGGCACAGTTACAACCAGACAGGGATGTGAAGCTGGAAGCTCCACTACCTAATCTGGAAGCCTTTTGGTAATCCACACTTCTCAGCGATCAAAATTTCCCAAGATTGCAAAACAAGCAGCTATGTGCCAAAGCTGGGAGCAGTCAGGGCAGGAAGTGAAGCTGAGGTAGCCCTACTCCCAGACAGGCCTGCCTCTCTCTACCCTAGAGCTTCAGACCCCCATCTGTGCTCTTATTCCCTCACCCAGGGGCTGCTAGAAAAGAAGTCGGTTAGATCTTGTCCCAGCTGCACTTGCCTCTCTGTGGAAGAAAGAGGTGGCCCAAAAGTGAGCCTAAAGCCCCTCAGATAGACGCCCCCCCCTGAAGACGGGGTGTCTTAGGCATTTTAATGGTTGTGGCCCTACCCAGGGTCACCACACACAGAAACCACAGCTCCTGTAAATGATGTTAAAATGTCACCAGGACAGGGCCATTAGGGGAAAAAAATCTCAAAAGGCTCCTGGGGGCAGGGGGGAGGGGGAAAGAGATGTTGGAGAAAGGTTGAAAAGCACATCTTCTGGCAACACCTGGCCATACCTAGTGCCTAGAAGACTTGGGGGAAGTACCCCCAGAATTAACAGGGAAAGGAGGCAGGAGCCTCCACCCCTAGAACACTAGGAGACCTGAGAGAGAAAGTGAAAACTCCATTCTGTGTTTCTGGTCCCATGACTGTAACACACACGTTCTCAAGTAAAGTCACCTTCATCTAAAAACAGCCACCCCTCCTTGTGCCCACTCGGCAGCTGGGCCAGGGCACAGGGCCAGGCAGGCCTCGTGGTAAACAGCCAAGGAACTTGCAGGATGAGGCGAAAGGTACCCGCCCTCGCCCCACCCAAGGCAGCACTGCAGGGCTCAGATAGGAGCCAAGAATATTTCAGAGATACCAGCTGTGGTTCCTTCCTTCTCCCTTCTCCCCTCACCTGAGGCTCAGAGAGACCAAGTCATCAACCCAAGGGACCCAGCTAGAAAACCCATGCCCTTCAAACATGCCTCACCAAGACAACAGGACTCTAGGCATCCCAGAAAGAACCAGGGTCTCCTGCAGGAGAATGGACCCAGGGCCTCAGGGGATGGGGATGCTGATGCTCAGGTCAAGGAACCTACTCCTGGCAGAGCCCTTAAAGCACTTCTGGGGCACTCACCTGACCAGGACAGGCAAACACTATCACTAAGTCACTCTTTCTAAACAGAAAAAGGATGTGTAGTGACATCCTCTGAAAGACTTTCAGATCTTTCCAAGAGTCCCTGGAAAAGGGGGAACTGTCAACAGTGAAAGAGGCGAATGAACCAGACAGGAATCCCAGGGGGAGTCAGACATGAGATAAGTGTGCATGAACAGCCCCAAATGTGCAATGGCACAGACCCTCTAGGCTTCACTGGCTGGAGTTCTGGAATCGCCCAGTGCTTCTGCTCTAAGCAGAGAGGAACAAACTCAGCAATTGTGCTCCCAGCAGAGGAAGACCACAGGTTCTTTCACCCGTTGGCTGGCTGCAGCCATCAAGGGCTATCTCTAAAGGGCTCAAGCTGCCAAATGCAGCTGTGTATCTTCCAAATTTACTTTGCCTACAGGCTCCCGAGTTTTTCCAGAGTGCTGGAAGGCAGACAGGACCTTACCTAGAGGAATTCAATAAATGGCTGTTTTGATTATACCAAAGACAAAAGAGGCAAATTAAGATCATAAAGTAGATCAGGAGTAACCCAGTGAAGCCTCTACAGGAGGCAGTCCCTCTGGGCTCCTGCCCAGGACAGTTTACAAGTCACTAAGAGCCTGACAGATCCTGTCTCTCCAGAAGAGCCCCAGACCATTCTGGCCTGCACTTTGTTCCCTACATGCCGGCCACTATAAATCTTTAACCTAGAACCAAATGGGAAGTCTCGATATGGGAAGAAAATGTCTCTTTATCAGGCCTTCCCCTGGAAAACTATACCTCGATCCATTTCTCAGGAGCATTCTCTAAACTACATCTGTCCATCCCCAAGAAGAGCTCTAAAAGTTAATGTTTGACAGTCCACAAAAACTCCACTTCCTATTCTTTACTGGGTGGACAGGGCGACCTCATGATGACCTTGGAACATACCCACCTCCCCTCCCGGGCCTATTTTCACCCCTGTAAAATGAAGTGGGTGGACTAGATGGCGCCTCATCTGTGCTGGGAAATCAGAAAAACAGGCAGCAGAGCATGCTAGCTTCCCTACAAGGGTTTAAACTTAAATGTTTGTGCAAATACCAAGAGCAGGTGCATACCCAGAGCAAGACTCGGGACCTAAATCCCGGCAAGAATGACAATCCCTGCCAACTCCAGGGCCTCCCGCCTTTGGGAAACTCACGTGCATTTGCTTACAGCTTCCACTTGAGGACAACAGCCCGCTTTCCAGATAAGAGCTAAGGGCCCGGAGAGTCTGGGGGCCCTCCGTCGCACCCCTCGCGCCAGCACACCCGGGTCGGGGTCCCACCCTCAAGCTGCCTCCTCAGACTCCTGGGCACCCTTCCAAAGGGAACGCTGCAGGAACCAGCAGGGTCGTTCCTTCCAGGCAGGGAGAGGATGGGGGCTGCCTCCAGATCCCCTCTCCAGTGGCCAAACCCCTCCCGGTTCCCAGAGCCTGCCCCAGGCTGCCGAAAATCTGGGACTTCACCTCCAGCATCACCCTCGGCGGACCCCAGCCCCCTATGTCGAGATTTGCCCACACACTACCTCGGCAGGGAGACCCACGGGTGCCCCCAAACACCTGGGTACCTCCGAACCGCCGGTACTGCCGTCCCCAGAGCTCCCCGGGTACCCCCCTCCACCCACGCCGGAGGGACCCCGGAGGCCGGAACGGCTCTCGCCTGCGGCCCCCACCCGCTCCACCCAGTCCTCACCCGCCCCGGAGCCGCTCTCGGAGCCAAGCAGCGCGAGCACCAGAACCACAAGTAGTCCAGTCGCCATGTCGCCGACGTCCCGTCGCCAACCGCCGCCCGCGGCTCTATAAGAACCCGGAAGGCGGGCGGGGCGCGCGCGCGCAGGGAAGAACGCGCATGGCGCGCCGGCCGCCGTCTGCGCACGCGTGCAGATGCACGTACTCGCGCAAGACCAGGCAGGCTCGCACTAACCAGGCCTGGACCGTGGCACTCCAGGGCTTGGGCACGTCCTGCGACCTAGGGGCGTGGCTACGTTGCTAGGAAAAGGGGCGGGGCCTTCATTTCAGAAAGTGATTAGAACTAAACTGTGACTCCAGAAGTAGTTATTTATTTATTTTTTAATCATTAATGGAGGATATTTTTCCATTTACCTTCAGATAGACTTGGCGGGAGGAAGAAAGAGAGAGAAACATCAATGGGAGAGAGACACATCCACTGGTTGCCTCACCCACAGCGGGGTACGGGCCACAACAGAGGTACGTGCCATTGGCAGGAATCGAACCAGGGACTCTTTGGTCTGAAGGCTGATGCTCTAACTGCTGAGCCAAACTGGCCAGGGCTGAAGTAGTTAAAATGCTTAATTTATATCACGTGTATTTTACCACACTACAAAAAAAAAAAAAAGAAAAAAGAAAAAAAAGAAAGCGTTGCCTGGCCTGTGTGGGTTAGGGGTTAGGGCAGCCAATCCATGTTTCTCTCTCTCTCTCTCCCTCCCTCCTCCCTCCCTTCCTCCCACACTCTCTAAAAATCAGTGGAAAAAATATCCTCCACTGAAGATTAACAACAACAGAAAAAATCGTCAAGGGAGGCCATAGGGATCCCTATGAACAAATGGGATAAGTAACCTGGGGGAGCCAGCGCTGCCAGATTTAGCGAAAAGACCTGGGCGATAGTTCAATTGTAATTTCAGGTAGAAATTAGCAATTTATTAATGTAACTATCCCATGCAATATTTGGACATAGTGATGCAAGGAAAGTATTACCTATTTATCTGATATTCACTATTACTTGAAATTTAAATGTAATTGGCAGTCCTATATTTTGTCTGGAAAACCTACCATGAGGTCCCAGTGTTTTTCAACAAATACTTTTTTTTTACAGTATTTTTTTTTCCCAATCCTCACCGGAAGACATTTTTTTCCCTATTTATCTTCAGATAGAATGGGAGGGAGGGAGAGAGAGAAATATCGATGTGAGAGGGACACATCAACTAGTTGCCTCCCTCATGACCCCACCAGGGCCGGGGATGAACCGCAACCAAGGTAGGTGCCCTTGACCGGAATCGAACCTGTGACTTATTGGTCTGCAGGCCGACGCTCTAACCGCTGAGCCAAACTGGCCAGAGCACTTTTTTAAAATTACAAAATAATTCCAGTTAAAACATTAAGCAATGATGTATTTATTTATTTATTAATCCTCACCCGAGGATATTTTTTTCCATTGATTTTTAGAAAGAGTGGAAGGGATGAGGGAAGGGGAAGAGGGAGAGGGAGAAAAAGAAAGAAAGAAACGATGTGCGAGAGATGCATGGATTGGTTGTCTCTGGCATACACCCCGACTGGGGCAGGGATCAAACCTGCAATCCAGGTATGTGCCCTTGACCAGGAATCGGATCTGCGACCCTTGGGTGTACAGGCCGATGCTCTAACCACTGAGTCATGCTGGCCAGAGCAGGCGATTATTTCTTACATATGACACCCAAAGCACACAAAACAACAGAAAAAATAAGTTGATATAATAAAACATTTTGTGCTTTGTCTGGCCGGAGTGGCTCAGTGGTTGAGCATCAACCCATGCCCAAATCGCTGGTTTGATTCCCAGTCAGGACACATGCCCAGGTTGTAGGCCTGATCCCCAGTGGGGTGCATGCAGGAGGCAGCCAATCAATGTTCTCTCATCATCAGTGTTTCTATCTCTCTCTCCCTCTCACTTCCTCTTTCTCTAAAATCAATAAAGGAAAAAACAAAACAAAACATTTTGTGCTTCAAAGAACACCAAGAAAGTGAAAAGACAACCCATAGAATGAGAGAAAATATTGCTTAATCATGTATCTGATAAGGAACTTATATCTAGAATATATAATAAACACTTGTGGGGGTGGGATGGGGAGGAGGGTGTCTGGAGGGGGAAAAGAAACATCTGTAACAAAAATAAATTAATAAAAATTAAAAAGAAAATAATAAACACAACTTAATTTTAAAAGACAATAATCCAATTTAAATGGACAAAGGATCTGCATACACATTTCTCCAAAGAAGACATGCAAGTGGACAATAAGAACATGAAAAGTACTCAATATCATGAACCTCAGGTAAATGCAAATCAAAACCACAGTGAGCCCTGGCCGGTTTGGCTCAGCAGTTAGAGCGTCAGCCTGCGGTCTGGAGAGACCCGGGTTCGGTTCCCGCTGGGGGCACGTACCTCGGTTGCAGTTTGTCCCCGGCAGCATGTGGATGGCAGCCACTCGATGTGTCTCTTTCGCGTCGATGTTTCTCTCTCTCTCTCTCTTCCTCTTCCTCCCTCCCACTCTATCTGTACAAAAAATGGAAAAGTGTCCTCGGGTGAGGATAAAAAAAAAAAAAAAAAAAAAAACACAGTGAGACACTACTTCATAGCCACTAGGATGATTGTAATAAAAAGATAGATAATGCTGGGCCCAGAGTGGCTCTTTTGGTTGAGCGTAGTCCTGTGCACCAAAAAGTTACCAGTTTGATTCTGGGTCAGGTTGCATACCTGGGTTTTGGATTTGATCCCTAGTCGGGGACTGTATGGAAGGCAACCAATTGATGTTTCTCTCTCTCTCTCCCCCTCTCTCTAAACATGTCCTCAGGTGAGGATTTAAAAAATTTTTTAAATAAATAAAAGGCAAATAATAGCAAGTGTTGGAGAAGGTGAAGAAACTAGAGCCCTCATGCACTGCTGGTGGGAATGTGGAATGGTACAGCCATTGTGAAAAATACCCCAACAATTAAACATAGAGTTACAGCCCTGGCTGGGTAGCTCAGTTGGTTGGAATATGATTCCGTACACCAAAAAGTTTTTGGGTTTGATTCCTGGGCAGGACACATACCTAGGTTGTGGGTCCAATCCACAGTCTGGGATCGTACCAGAGGTAACCTATTGATCATGTGCCGTCCTCTCTAAAATCAGTAAACTATATCCTTAGGTGAGGATTAACAAACAAACAAAACAGCTACCATCTGACCCAGCAATTCCACTCCAAGTATATGACCACGAGAACTGAAAACTCACACCAACACAGACACTTGTGTCAACTGAAGGTCGTCACCACTATTTAAATGCCACCAGGAGCCCTGGCTGGTTTGGCTCAGCGGTTAGAGCGTCGGCCCTGGGACCAACGAGTCTCGGATTCAGTTCTGGTCAAGGGCTCATACCTCAGTTTCGGTTCTTTCCCCGGCCCTGGTTGGGGTTGTACCGGAGGCAACCAATCAATGTGCCTCTCTCACATCAATGTTTCCTCTCTCTCCCTCTCCCTCCCTCCCTCCCACTCTATCAGAAAATCAATAGAAAAATACCCTCGAGTGAGGATTAAAAAATAATAGTAATAATAATAAATAAATAAATGCCACCAGGAGCCCTGGTCAGTGTGTTTCAGTGCTTAGAGTGTCAGCCCAAGCAGTGAAGGTCACATACCTGGGTTGCAGGTTCAATCCCCAGCTGCAGTTGGGGCACGTGCAGGAGGCAACCAATTGATGTGTCTTTCTCATCTATGTTTCTCTCTATCTTTCTCCCCTCCCTCCTTCTGTCTCACTCTCTCTAAAAATCAATGGAAAAAATATCCTTGGGTAAGGATTAACAAAAAATGCAAATGAGTATATAACTGCACAGCTCTGATTGGACAGGAAAAGTCTCAGTCCTATCAGTTGAATTTTGATTCTAGGATCTTTCTTATAAGGCTGACTCAGCAGGCAGGATTACAGTGCAGGAGGCTGGCAGGTCAATCTGTGGCTTTTCTCTGTTAGCAGCTTGCATGAAAGGCCTCTAGAAGAATGGCTGCTAGACTGAATTTGGGCTCACTTAAACACACGGAATCCTTGCCAGATATTTTCTTTACAAAAAAAAAATTTTTTTTTAGCCCTGGCTGGTTTGGCTCAGTGATTAGAGCCCGTGGACCAATGAGTCGTGGGTTCGATTCCGGCCAAGGGCACGTACCTCGGTTGTGGTTCGTCCCCCCGCTCCCCCCACAGTCGGGTAGCATGGGAGGTAACCAGTTGATGTGGCTCTGTCACATCAACGTTTCTTTCTGTTTCTCTCCCTCTCCCTCCCACTCTATCTGATGATAAATAGAAAAGTATCCTTGGGTGAGAAATAAAAATTTTTTTTAATTCTCACCCGAGGATATTTTTACATTTATCCTCAGAGAGGGAGGGAAAGAAGGAGAGAAACACTGATGTGAGAGAAACACATTGACCGGCTGCCACCAGGGACAAACCGCAACTGAGGCACGTGCTCCCAACTAGAATTGAACCCGGGACTCCTTGGTCCACAAGCTAACTCTCTAACCACTGAGCAAAACCGGCCAGGGCCTTGCCAGGTATTTTCTTTCTCAGCATCAACACTTGCACATGAATGCTCACAGCAGCAGGATTCACAATAGCCAAAAAGTGGAACAACCTAAGTGCCCATCAACAGGTGAATGAAGAAACACAATGTGTCCATTCACACACTGGAATATTACTCAGCCATGAAAAGAAGTGAAGCACTGACACATGGATGAACCTTGAACACATGATGCTCACTGAGAGAAGCCAGACACAAAAGACCACACCGTGTGTGATTGCATTTATGTAAAATGTCCAAACTGGCAAATTCACAGAGACAGCAAGTGGGTTAGTGGTAGCCAGGGGCTGGGGAGGAGGATAGGGAGTAATGGTTAATTGGGTCTGGGTTGCTTTTTAGGGTGATGTAAATGTTCTAAAATTGATTGTGGTGATGGGTGCATAATCCTGTGAATATTCTAAAACCCACTAAACTGTACACTTTAAATGGGTGAATTGTATGATATGTGAATTATCTCAATTACAAAAATGGTGATGTAGCCCTGGCCGGTTTGGCTTAGTGGTTAGAGCATCGG